AATTGTGGTTTGGGTTACTTTAGTTGACTATTTTTGGCATTTAAACCTTATATATAGTTAGTATAGTAATAAATGATAAAATGCTTGCTTTTAAGTAAATAGTACCCAGAGGTAATGTGTAAGAAGCGAAGTACTATGCAAGGTATCTCTTATGAAACCTAATAATATGATACAGAGTACTTTCAAAAAATGCTAACATTTATATCCTGACACTATAGAAGAGGATACTTACCAGAATACAGTAAGCAGCACAATATGGTACTGTACTATTCAAATAAATTTTGTAAGCAGTTTATTTTTTTTTTTTTTTAACTCAATTTACTTAGTATATTTATTTTCTGCTCAAGGGCAGTTTCGATATTGTCATGAGTTAATTAGTAACTCAGATTACTAAATGACCTAGCTCCCTCAGCAAGTACCATGTTGAAACTTCTCTTACGACTCTTTTGGAGTAGTCTCAAGGTATATACTTTACTTATTTTATTACTAACAGTGTATATTTGAAAATAAATTGCTAACTAATTCTTTATTTTTTGCTTTGCCTATAAATACCCTTTTGACTAACATTTATTACATTATAATTGGGTTATGCCATTTTAACTTTTAAATTAACTACTTACAAATTTTATGCAAATTAACTACTATTGTACTTCAACACAATACTGATCTCTACTCAATTAATTAATTATGCTATTTTTTCATTATGTATACAATCTTCGATCCCGATCATGATCATCATGTAGTCACATGAACATGACACTCAACAAACATTCGATACTTCCTTTTTCTAAGCTAAGTATATCTATAAGTTTTTTTTTTTTTTTTTACTAACCTAATTAATTACCTACTCCCTAGCATTCTAGATCCATTCCCCTAACAAGATACACTGCATACTGTTCTTCACCATGACAATATCCTTTTATAATTCATAAGTTTTAATGATTAAATACAAACATCAAATTTTTATATATTATTCTGACAGTATAGAATTTACATGATCATTACGTTATATTATTCACCATCAGAAAAATATGAAATAAAAATATCTAACATTTCTACTTCATTTGAAAAAGAGCTAGGAATATAATTATCTGTTGCTGCATAAGCCATAGACTTTTTGTGTTTGTGAGTAAGAGGAAAGTGTTTAAACTTTTTATGATAAGAAAGAAAGACCATGGTGGGAAAATACTGATAACAGGTAGGGCAGACTAATCTTAAATAGAGTTTAGAAGAAATCAAGGGACAATGTTGATCGAAGCCTGAAATTTTTAATTTGTCCACATACTGAAGTATATAGATGAAATTAAGAAAATGACCATCTCAGGCTTTGATAGATGGTGGCAAAAATCTATTGTTTTCAGCTAACAAAGTGGCTGCTTCTTCAACTCTTCATGTAGAACAACAATTGACATCATTGCATTTTTGAATGTCCAAAGAGTACTAACATATTTGGCAATAGTTTTCTATCCAGCCCCAAGGTATATCTGAAACTTATTAAAATTGTCAATTTGCTCATCAACATATTCAACAATTACTTTTTTATCATGAATATAGTCTCATCACCAAATATCACATAACTTTTTATCAGCATAACAAAAATTTTGCTTTGCAAGGTCTATATTCTCAATAATACTATTAGAATCAAGATGTGAGCCAAAATGATCAATAGGTAGGACAATACCTGCCAACTTTTCTAAGAGAGTAGACATGCTACACTCTACAGGATTGTAGGCAGATTGTCCAGAGGCATAGGTTCTAACAGTTAAGTAATCCAAATTTAATTCTATAAATAATTTATAGTATTCTTTTATATTTTTGAAGTATCTGAGTTCTTGTTGGGACCACCGTCAACAAGCAAAACCAGAATTGGTTTGAATTCATTTTCCAATTTTAGCATATTATTTAAAACAGGATTTTCTATTATAGCCATTATGTCAACCATATGAGTTAAAGAAGAAGTCTTGATCAACCATTGTAGATGGATAAAAATTATTAATTAACCATTATGTAATGAGTCATTTGAACCTTCTGGGTTAATTGTAAGATAAACTGAAGGTATTAGTTTTTGTTTACTTCCTCAGAGAAAGTCATGATCTTTTAATTAATAATAATAATAATTAAAACCAAGCTTAAATAATTTATATACAGTAAACCTTCTATAAGTGCAGGCACTTAGGACAAATTTTTAACGATGTGCACTTAGAGAACAATAAGAAAAGTGCATTTACAAAGGTCATATATATATATATATATATATATATATATTTGGACCCAAATTTAAATGTGCATTTAGAGAAGGTATGCACTTATGGAGATTTTAACATATTTGCTTATATATAATTACCAGGTATCGCAACTGGTTCATGAGAAGATTGTACAGTTTTAAATGTCCTCCCAACTGCCAGTATTCTAAGTAGAACTTTTGCTTTATCATCTTGTGATATAATCACAGAATGAGAAGCAAAAGCATCAGCAAATTGTTTTGCATTTTTGACTATTTGCAAACAATAGTGCTCGTCTATATGTTCAGGCATTTCATTTCTAGATACAGAGTTTATTTGAATAGCCATAGGATGGTGGTGTCTTTTGGCATTCGAAGAATTAATTCTTCTGAGCCAAGTGTATGTATATAAACAGATGCATGATATGTAAATTTGATATTTTTCTTCCATTTCTTTTTTTAAATGAGAAATGGTGCATACTTTAATAATTTCTTTCTGCCTTTTTTTGGCAGCAGTACCAAACTCGATACATAAATGCATCTGCTCAGAAAGATCAGGATTTAGAAGAAAAAAAGAGAAATGCTCAAGTGAATCATATCTAATAACTTCCCTTCTGGTTTTTAAAGCTTCATATTTTTTTGCTTGACTTTTGGCTTGTGCAGCAGCATGTTTCTTTAATTTTTGCCTCTTTTTTTTCAGCTTCAATTTCTTGTTTAGTTTCATTCATTTGAACTAAAAAATTGTAACATCATTTAGGATCATGTGCAACATTATACAACTCATTTAATTCATTAAGCTGTTTTTCAGCACATTCTTGTTTAGCTAAAGAATTTTTTTAAGCAGTTGCATTATAGTGCAGTTTTTCAGATTCTATTGTAGAAAATGAGGATGCAGATAGTATAGATATAAGGGAACTAATTTCATTTGATATAACCAGAGTAGGTGTAAAAGAAGTATATTGAATAAGTCTTAAAGGTGTTTGTAAATAATTATTTATTTTATTTTGTATAGTTTCTTCATTCAAATTTCGTATAGTCTTCCATTCTTCTTGAGCTTTTATAAAAATATTTTGTTTTTTAGGAGATGAGGTTCCCATAGAAATGGCCAAATAATATGCATATGCATTGCAAAAGTTTTCATATAGGTTTGAGGGATTTTTGAATATTAATTTTTTATTGAATTTTGAAGTACCTAAAAACATTTGCAATTTTTTTTTTTTAATTTTTTTTAATATGCTTCAGAGGTATATATAATTACTCAAATTGCTTATAATTATTAAATATCAGAATGACAAAAATGTTTGCACAACAAATCCTCTAGGCATAAGCATACCCATGTGATGCAAATTTCTTTACACATAAAAAATTAAATATCACAATTAATGCATTTCACATTTGTATATAACAAGTATTCAAGAAGGAGATTTACACTATTTAGCATAAAGAGTACTTTAATTCACAAAATACAAGTATATGTTTTTATACATGTATATGTGTGCCTACTTATTGCTATCATCATGTTGAGTTTTTTATAAATTTGATATTTTATAACTAATTATATCTTTGACTGATTATACCTTTTATTAATGCAGTTGAACTTTTTTTGATACATAGAGACAAACTTATCTTATGAATATGCATTTTTGTAAGAACCTTGTATGATTTTGTTGCAGAAAAGGTTGATAATACAGATAAGTTTTTAGAACCATCATATTATTTCTATGGATATCTAAGGTACACTGATCAATATGGTTTAATTAACTAGATCCATATAGTAAAGGCTGATTCAAAAAAAATTATACTATACTGATTCCATGTTATAATATTAGAATTATGAATTCTATTTTAGCTGATCAGTATAGTATAGTTTTAAAATCAATATGTACTATACAGAATATTATTATTGATTATAGGATATACAATCTTTTCTCAGCAAACCTCAAGAACCAATCAACTATATGTACTAAATAAACATGGCACAGAACAAAACAAGCATGGTGTATATGATAGTGCAGGGAATTGTGAAAACAATTCTCTTATATTACTAGACAATACTACTTATGATTTGGGTTCTAGCTAGCGATACACAAATTTGGATTACAATGCAGTTACGACATAATTGCTGAATCTAGTAAAAACCTTTAGAATCCCAAACTGTTGGGTTTAGTTTACATTGCTAGTTGAAATGCTAATTATAATAATTTAGGATCTGTGAATTATATCAAGAATAATCAGAAAACAGAATATACAACTTTTTAGTGATATGTTATTTTATTAAATTGTTAAAAGGGTGAAGACAAACTTAACAGCTAATAAAACTGAATTATTGATAATTTTACATTTTAATTCTGCCAGATAGAAATTATATCAACTATATTATTAAGCTATACATTTTAAATGCATGTTGATATCTAAACCATTTTTTTTTTCACATAACTTAAATAGCATATGAATATATGCTAGATTATGATACAAAAATGTGCACTTCTTTAAAAGTATTTGAACTAGCAAAATTTTATGATTTAGATGCAATGCATTTATAAATTAGACCTTGTTGTGTATTAGAAATGTAAAAGCTTTTTTAATGATACTTCGGATTAACAAACCTTATCATTACAAATTTAGTATTTAACTATTCAATTTACTGAAGTATTTACAATTAAATAGTATTATGCATTTATACATAAATGATAGTTGCAGGGATCATGTAAAAATATATACGAATTTGAACATATAATATTTATATTTAGTACCTCGATTGATATACATATACAGTATATGCATATGGTCAATTATATGTACAAAATGAATGGGTGCCCTAATTTCTTCTACTACTTCACTATCAGAGAACTATAAAATTGATTAATAACATAGGCATTCTGATATATGAATAATTAGTAGGACCAATTATAAGTAATGAGGAAAATTAGTAAATTTGAAATGAATGCCATCAAGGAAAAAGTCATAGGAAGACATTTATCTGATTGGCTAAGTTTTATAAATCTATCCGTAATTTGCTATGATAATTAGCCAATAATATTACATAATTTAATTGAATGAATTCATAATACAGACAAAACTTTATATTATATAATAGTGTAACTTATATTCTATTCTTTATTAATTATTATTTATTAATTATATTTAATTACATAATCGAGTAGAAATCATATTTTAATTATTACTGCCTTTGTTAGAGATACTACTACCTATAAAATATATTATCAATTAGACAATATCCTTCATCAAAGAAAAACTTTTAAGAAATTCTATTATTTATTTATATAAATTCTTAAATAATCTTATTTTTTTAGTTATTACAGTCGTTGTACTACTATTTTTCATTTACAGTATATTATTGATACATTTCTATCTATACTATTATAAAGCCATATTAAATCTACTAAATACTAAAGTAATATAAATAAGTAATAGAATTATTAAAAGAAGTAATTTAAACTTAAATATAATAAATTTTCTCAAATATAAATTTACCTTAAATGTCTGGATCATTTTTTTTTTTGACTATTTTTTCGCATTTAGTACTTGTATAGTTAATATATATAGTAATAGTAATAAATAGTGAAATACTTACTTCAAGTGAATGTTGATTATTTTTTGATTATTTTCTATAATAAATATAGATGTTTTTTCGAAGTTAAAAATAACTTATGCAACAATTTTTTATTAGTGAAACGTTATATTCCCAAAAAGTACTCTAAAGTATATAAATAAGTTATCTAGACAAGTCAATCAGACAAAACTCTTTTTATGAAGAAAAAAGACAGTATGGACTTTCAATTATATTTTATATTGGACACAATACTAAATTGTGTTTGGTACAAAATGTAATTGAAAGTTCGTGCTACCTTTTTCTTTAGTAGTACTTATTTATTATTATAATAAGTTATAATTTATTATATATACTATAATAATAATTTTAAATATACTGTACATAAAATTTGATTAGCTAATTGAAGTATCAAGTGGGGGTGGGTGGGGGTAGCCTCTTAATAAACCCTAATTACCTGATTTCTGGAAGCCCCCTAATTGCTAAAGATTCAAGAAAAAATATAATTATTTTAAATAATTGCAAATATTTTTAAATATTATAAAAATTATTTCAAATACTTTGATAAAATTTGATTCTTGTGACAAATTATATAATTCATTAATTTTATTATCTAATTCGTTTGATGCATTTTGATTCTATTAACTTTTTCAGATAATTCAATAAGCTTATCCAAAATTTTTGAAAGAAGATTTTTTAAATTATATAAAAGATTAAATAAAACATTAATTTATTTATATAAATTATATATAAAAGTTATATTCACAGAAATTTTATAACCTTCAGGAGGGTGTGCAATACTTTTAATTCTTCTAGAAGATTTTCTAGCAGAACCAGCTGCTTCAATATTCTCAAAAGTTTTGGCTGCTCTTCTAACAGATATTGAGACATCACTTCTTACTGTAGATACTCTTTCAGTTGTTTGCAATAATAATTCTGCAATCAATCTGGCAAAAACTTGTTTGAATTTTAATTGTTTCTTGGTGATTTTAGGCATTTAATAATTTGCGCAATATTTCAAAAGTTTTTAAAATGTTTTAATATATATTAAAAATATTAAAAAATAAAATATAAAAATATAATAAAAAAAATAAGAAAAGTAAAAAATTAAAAAGAAAAAAAATAAAAAATTAAAAAATTAAATAATGAAAAAAAATAATAATAAAAATGAAAGTTATAGAAAAAACAAAGTTATTATTCTGAAGAAATATGCAGATATTTGCAAAAATTTTTAGAATATTTTAATGATCAGTAAATTTTTAAAAATTTTAGAAGTATTAAATTTTAGAAGTAAAAATTTATTTTGTGAAGACAATGTAAAATTGTAAAGGAATTTTTTCTTCTATTTATATTTTACATACTTAATCATTTCAAAGCAATTTTAATATTCTTAAATAATCATAAATCAATATGCATATTTTATTTATTATTAAAATAATTCTATGTATTCAAAATAAATTTGCATTACTTTAAACTGTTTTAATGTAATCAAAATTTAATTTTTATTTATTTTAATTTGCATGCTTTAATTATTTCGAAGTATTTTTAATATATTTGTTAATTTTTAATATTTTATTTTCTTTTTTATATAATTTAAATTAATTCAAAGGTATTTGAATTATTTCATATTTTATTAAATACTTTTAAAGTACTTAAAATTTTTGTCTTCTAATTATTTTGAATTGTTTCACTTTTATTTGAATATTAACATAAATTTTAATTACTTTACTATTTTTAATGTTTTCAATATACTTTAAAATAATTTAATTCACTTGCATCATTTATTGTTTTTAAATACAGCTTTAATTTTTAATGTATGTTTTTATGCAATTAATTATTTAATATAAAAATATTTATTTAATTATAAAAAAATTATAATATAACAAATAATTATGGCTAATTTATTGTTTAACAATAGTATTTTATTAAATTAATAAGTAGCAAATAATGCAAAAGATTTC